TTGCCTCTAGGTGTTCGCTGATTCTTGTTTGATTATCTTTTCCAGAATCTTCCCAGATATTGAGGTCAGGATAATGGGTTAGTAGTTTTCTGGATCTATTCTTTCCCCCCCCCTTTTTTTTTGAAAAGGGGAACTATATCAGCTCTTTTCCAGTCCTCTGGTAGTTCCCTAGTGCTCCAGGATCTTTGAAAAATATAGTTCAGTGGTTCTGAGATCACATCTACCAGTTCCTTGAGGACTTTGGGTGTAATCCATCTGGTCCTGGTGATTTGGACTCTTCTAGGCTGAATAAGTGCTCACTTACCATTTTCTTGCCTATCTTAACTTGTGTTTCTAATCTTTTTTTATGGTACTGTTTTTGATAAGTTGGACTGTTTGCTTTTTATTATTTTTGATTGTGGTCACAAGCCTTAGTTCATTTTGAGCCTTAGCTTTCTTCACCTCATCTTTGCAGGCTCAGACTATTTGCTAATATTCTGCTTTAGTTATGTGCCCCTCTTTCCACTTTTATACTTGTCCCTTTAATCTGTCAATTTATCAGAGAGTTCTTTATGCAGCCATGCTGTTTCTTGTGAGAGCTGTTATTTTTCTTCTTTGTTGATATTGTGCTAAATTGGATTTTTATTATCTCACTTTTCAAAATTTCCCAAGCCTCTCTTAAAGTCCAAAACTCTAGTTGGACTGTTCTATTGCCATGTGCTTCCTACATACCTTAGCTGAGTTCTTATACCCTTTCATGGTTTCCAAAATTGTCATTCCTGATTTTTTTGGTCAGTGTCTGTTGTTGGGTTAATCTCCTTCTCAATTCTGTCTACAAGGTGTTAATTTTTGTTCCAGGGGGAATCCAGTGTAAAATTATTCTATTGTTGTGTAACTTTTGGTGTTTCTATTCTAATTCTGTCAAGTCTAATTATCTGTCTATCCTTTTCCTGAAAAATGTGTGTCTATCTACAAGAGCCTTTTGAAGCTCAAGTCTGCTTGTGTAGGGAAATAATTTTCTCAAATTACTTTTCTTATCCTATCACTTACTGGTGAAGCTACTATGAAACTTTTCTTATCCTAAATATATAAGCATTTCTCAATCTCTAAAACAATGTGGTCTATTTTAGAATAAATGTTAAAGGCAGATTTTGTTTGCCTGATTCTTTAACAACTGCAGTATTAATGTCTTTTCAAAACTGCCTGCAAGCAACCCCCCCTTTCCCTCAGGTACTTCTCTTTTTCTTGTCCCTTGTTCTCCATATCTTTTGTCTGCCTCTCCTGGGAGAGGCCACCCAGAAAGGTGGGAAGACCTTGTTCTTATATCTTTCAGCCCTGCAATCCTCCCCCAAACCTTTGGAAGCAGAACACAACAGACCAGATGCTGCCTCCATCCATTTGAGCCATGGAATTGGGTTTTGAAACCAGCCATCCACTAAAAAGCCACCATGCAATCTGAGTGGAACATCTTCCCAAGTCCTACCATTTCCCCAGATGCCTGTGAAAGCTGCAGAAGGAAGGAGTCCTGGAGCCACTG